ATTGGCCACTGTCCGGCGCCTCTGATGTGAGCTTCCCCTGGTGGCTGGCTGGCGGCATACGGGTCAGTTGTCTGCCGGTGGCGCTGGTTATGGGTGATGTGACGTCGCCCAATGATTGTGGTGGCGGTGCTGACGTCGAAAGCCCTGACCTCAGCTGGCGACGTCAGTGACCGCAGGCCGGTGATCATGACCCCGTGAACATCGGAGGGGTGCTATGTGACCGGCGTCTCCTGCGCTCCCTGGCGCCGGTGACCCGCTCTCCTGCGCTCCCTGGCGCCGGTGACCCGCTCTCCTGCGCTCCCTGGCGCCGGTGACCCCGCTCTCCGGCGCTCCCTGGCGCCGGTGACCCGCTCTCCTGCGCTCCCTGGCGCCGGTGACCCCGCTCTCCGGCGCTCCCTGGCGCCGGTGACCCGCTCTCCTGCGCTCCCTGGCGCCGGTGACCCGCTCTCCTGCGCTCCCTGACGCCGGTGACCCCGCTCTCCGGCGTCGACAGGACGTGGACTGGGCGCGGCGCGCCGCCGCCGAGGAGGAGGCGGCCGCGCTCGACACCCGCTCGGCCGACCTCTACTCGCAGCTGCTGCTCCACAGCGTGACGGCGCTGCCGGCGGCCGTCGCCGCCGCGCCGCCCGCCCTGCTGGCGCTGCCAGCGCCCTCGGACGTCACCGAGGCGCCGCCGCCGCCGCGCGGCCGCTACCGCCGGCACTACTTTACCAGGAACATGCTCTGGACTTTCCAGGACCTCAAGATGCTGATCGGTGGGTATGATGGGGTGGGGAAGGGGGCTGGCGTGACGGGTGTGAGAGATGCATTGTTGCGAAGGGTTCATGGTGGCTGGCCCGGAGGTGTGATCGGCTTTAGCTGTTGCCGACGGCGTGTTACGAGCGCTTGGACTGAAACTGAGCCCCAACGGACAGCCTTCGTCCCGTGTCGTCGCTGTAGACTGAAATGATGGCTTACACTCGAACTTTGGCGCGCTCATACGGGCATTGCATGACATCGGGCTACTCGGCCCGCGTTGCTCGCCTCGGACGGTGAACGCCGACGCGAGCGTGGCCGCTCGCGTCGGCAACCGAAACAATGAAGGTCGGGTTACGTCGCGAATCGTGTTGCTGCGCGTGTCCCCGGGGGCGAGGCTGACAACAGCGAATTACGGCAGCAGACTTCTTTGGGTGATGCTGGTACTGACGCTGACGTGAAGCGTTGTGGACACCAGCGCGAGCCGAGGCGTTGCGTTGTGTTCGTGTTATTTATTTGTAACAGCGCCGCCGTCATGAGCACGACATGTTTCCGTCTGTAGTCTCACGCGCCATCTGACCGCCGGTTGTGTGCTGCACCTGGGGCGCCCGACCGCTGACCTGTTGCTGACACCTGACTGCCGGCGCGCTGACCCCTGGCTGCCTGCGTACTGACCCCTGACCGCCCGCGTGCTGACCCCTGACCGCACCCGCGCTGACCCGTGACCGCCCGTGTGCTGACCCCTGACCTCCCGCGTGCTGACCGCTGTGCATCTGCGGCAGGCACGGACATGCCAATCCTGGGCGGCGGCACGCACCCCTGCGTCAGCCTGCGCCTGCACGACCTCTCAGAGCCCATCAACGTTCTCACTGGGCTCGACTACTGGCTCGACAACCTCATGTCCAACGTGCCCGAGGTGCTCATGTGCTACCACGTGGACGGTGTGCTCAAGTAAGTGGTTTCGGCGGGCCTGAGCGGCGGGACGCTTGGGAAGCCGCTCGATTGTTTGCCGCTGCGTGCCACCGCTGTGGGGGTTCGCGATGCACGTTCACGTGCCTGCTGCGACAGGACCCAGCGCCAACGCACGCGACGCGTGAGAATCGAGCTCAGTCCCAGGAGCCCATATCCGAGGCTGTTGCTGATGGTGGGCGACTCGGACGACGCCACCGCGGAGTCGTGTGGCGCCCAGAGCTGGCGTCCGTGTCGCCGCACGCGTGCTCGCACGGGGGTGGCGTGTTGTGGACGGTGCTCGGTTGGGACGGACGGCGAGAGCGCGCCAAGCGGGATGAACCTGCAAACCCCTAGAGGGGCCTTGCGCGGGCTAATCGCCGCCGAAGGGGCCCCAGGCGCGTGTAGTCGTGCCCTCAGCGTCATTCACTCTCTTTTGTCCGCATTGCCCTGATATGATGCTTACTGGTCGAGAGGGCTCTAATCCAAACAGTCAAACTAACTGGGCCGTGCACCGCGCCAGGCCGGGCGGGGTGAGATCCGGGCGGTGACAGCTGGATCTAGGCGGATATAGGCCGGGCTGCTCTGGCCTCCGCTCACCCGCCGGGTCCGAGGCGGCGCTCGGCGCCGTGTATGTGTGGGCGCCCGGCGCTGCCACGGGGGCTTCAGGCCGACTGGGCAGGCTCGGTCCGACACTGAGAGGCGCCGTCTCCCACTATCACCTCGCCGCTTGCACCGCGCTCTGCTAGAGGGCTGGGGGCGCGGGGGAGGTGTGAAAATGCACCTGCCACCAATCCGATCAAGCCACCCGCCCCGCTCCGTGCTGAATAGGGTACAGCCATTTAGAGTCGGCTGTCTTTCGTCGAAGGCGATCGGCGCACGTTCACGAGCGCTTGAGCAGCTTGTGTACCTACTGAAGCAAGCTATGCTTCTCTGAGAGCTTATTGTGGGTGCGGTGCACATCGTCGCGTATCGGGAGCGGAACGTTGCAGCATCTCCTGACCCTGCACAAGCGTGCCTGCCTCGTCAGCTAAGCTAAAGCCGACGCTAACCGCGCCGTGCCCGGCAGGAAGTACTCGCTGATCAAGACGGAGGACCTGCCGCACCTGCCCGACTCGACGTTCAAGCCGGAGGTGGTGCACGACGTGGCCGAGAACATCCTGTCGTTCCTGCGCGCCAACGCTACCAAGACGGGCCACACCTACTGGCTGTTCAAGGGTGAGAGCGCCGCCGATCGGTCCAGGCCGGGGCCGGCTCGGCGCAGGCTGCCGTGTGGAGCGGTTTGAGCCGGGTGTCGGACCAAGCCGGTGTCAGGCTACAACGCGAGGCTAGACGCGTCGCCTGGCAGCCTGGTGGCATGTGCTGGGTCAAGCGGTGAACGGATCGCGGCCTGTCGCCACACTGGAAGGACCGGTATGACCGTCAAACTCGTTGACACGTGATGTGCTTGGTTCACCTGGCAGCTCGTGTACGTACTGAAGCACTGGCCCGCGGAGTGGTGAGCCTGTCGGCAAACTGGCCGTGTGACTGACCCACTGGTGCCGCTGCCAGGCGAGGATGACGACTGCGTTAAGCTCTACGACCTCAGCAGTCTGCTGGAGAGCCGCTTCGAGGAGGTGAACAGGGACGACAACCCTTTCTCGGGTCACGTGGCCCTGCTGCTCTACCGGTGAGTGGTCGGCCACCTCTTCTCTGTCGGTGGGTTCCGCCGATTCAAAAGTGGTTCCGCCTTGCTGCATGGGCAGAAAGAAAAGAAAAGAAAAAGGACAGCAAAGAGCAGTCGGCGTCCCGAGGCCGAAGTGATAACGTTGCTGGCAACAATAGCGAGAGTCGACTGCAGTTGTGGTCAAGCTGCAGATCGAGTCTGTAGGGTTTCAGTTAAGTGTTGGAGATGGATGAGCGGCACTGTCACGGCCCGTCGCGTTCGCCCCTCGACGCGTGCAGCTCCTGTCGTCAGCTGTCGATCGCCGCAGCCATGACGCGCGGCCCGTCCTTAACACCTGGGTGGCGTCGGGCGCCGCAGGATCGCGTGCAACATGCTGCGGAAACGGCACGTGGTGGACTACGGGGACCGTCTCGGCACGGTGCGCACCATCCTCAGCAAGACGCTGGAGCTCATCAAGGGCGACAAGTACTTGCAGGTCGGTGCGCGGGCCGGGCAGCGGCCGGGTAATGCCCGACACTCAGGAAGATGTGGGGATGGGCAGCGGGGCGATGCATGGCAAGGAAAGGTGGAGTATGTGGCGGTGGTGTCCTGTGCAACCGCTTCCCACTTGTTGGGGCTTGCACACAGTCCGTAAAATGCAAAACGGGATTGATGGCACCTAGTTGTATGACATATTTAACTGATGAAAGACAAAGTAAATTACTGGCATCTTGTGTTTTGTTGTGTCTGTGTCTTGTTGCATACCTGAAGCACTCTACGTGTATCCCACTTTTCCGTTGTCGGCTCTATGACGCACCGCAGCCGCGGTTGCACGATATCCACCTGGCCACCCTCTGGCTGTCGCTTCACACACGTGTCCCCTGCCTCCGCCGGTGTGTCCGCCCGAGCCGCGTGCCGATCTTCGCGTCCGGCCGCCAGGTACGGGCCAACATCCACATGATGCTGGCCGACTGCTACGTGCCGCGCGACCACCGACCGCTGGCCACCGAGTTCGCCGGCGCTGCCGCCGCTGCCGCCAGCGCTCTGGCTCGCAGCCCGGAGCGCGCCGGCACCGCTGAATCACCTTGGACGCAGCAGCCGATGGTGCGCGTCGACCTGCTGGCGCGCAAGGGCGCCGTGCCGCCGCGCGACGGCGCGCGGTCCGGTGACCTGCGGCCGCAGCCGATCGCCGGCGACGCGCTCGAGCGTACCGAGTGCGCCATGAAGCACGTGCTGGCGGCGTTCAGCTGCCTGCGCCGGCGCGACGAGCTCGAGCGCGATGACAAGGCGCCGAAGATGGCGCGGCCTTCGCAGGCCATCCCAATGCCGTACTGCCCACTGAACACGGCGCTGGTGGCGGCGGCGGCCGGCACGGGGGCGGAGCCGCGCCCGCCGTCGCCGCCGCCGCCGCCGGCCGCGCCGTCCGCGCCTGCCGCCGCCGCACAGGAGGGCGACGTCTCGGACACGCTGCTCTGCCAGAAGGCGGCGCACTTGTGCACGGTGCGCGCGGCGGCGGCCGCCGAGCGCGACGACGCGCTGCCGGCGCTGCAGATGGCGCAGGCGGCGCTGTGCTGCGTGCGCGCCGCTGGCGGCAGCGGCCAGGTGCCCGAGGTGACCGCCGCCGCCTCCATCCTCGTCAGCGACGGCCTGCTGCTGCTGAGCCGAGCGCCGGTCGCCGAGACGGAGGCGGCGCGCCGCCGCTGGCAGGAGCCCGGCGAGCCGCTCGGCCGAGAGCTGCTGCACATCCTGCGCCAGAAGGACGCCTGTGAGTGCGCGGCCGGCGACGCGTTATCGTGTCAGAAGCCCGGGCGAGCCCGAGTGACTCACCAGGCTTGGTATGGCGCCCGTGGGTGGGTTAGGGGTGGTGGTGGTAATGCCAGGAGCACAGGCTCTCACCACCAGCTCACTGGACCCCCGCGTAGCAAGCGTATTGATAAGGCTGGAAGCATGAGTCCGACAGTGACCTTGCAGAGTACGCTCTCCTCAGCACGCCTCCTCATTTTTGTCCGTTTGCCAGACGGAGCTGCCTCAGTTTGGCGCGACTTGACCGCTCGTGCTCTGTCGTTTGTCAGACTTCGAGCCGGCGTTCGTGGGCCGGCCGGCGCGGCGTGCGTCGGAGGCCGGCGACATGGCCATGTTGGGGGACGCGATCGGTATCATGGAGGCGGCCGTCTCGCTGAAGGTGAGCGCCCCCAGCGCCACAGTTATGTGCCGTCGACCAATCACCGAGTGGGCTCATCACGGCCGGTCCGCGGGTCCATTTGCAGAGTCTGTGAGGTAGGTGGTGGGCTAGTTCAGGCGGGTGACGTACGATCTCTGTCGCGAATCCGGCTCCGGCTGTTCAGCTCTCGCTGTGTTTCGCTGTGTGACGCTGCGCTGTCAGCCGATAACTCCGCCACTTGTAGACAGATACCTTACTGAGGCGATGCCTGAGTGGATGTTGCGTGGATGCGTTAGTGAGATGGTAGAAGCTTTTGGTGTGATTCGCTCGGTGGTGTTCTGCGCGTGCTGCGGACTCCGTAGCTCAGCTGTTGGATGCTGGACTGATCGCCGCAGCGGCGGGGCCAACGTATGGCGCAGAGGCCAGAGAATGGCACAGAGCCCGGCAGTGTCGTGAAGTGATAGAACAAGGCGAGTGAAAGTGGGGCTGGCCTGACCTCGCTGTTGGCCCTCCTCCCCGCCACAGCACTTGTCGTCCGAGATGCGTCAGCACGTACGTACGCGGCTGGGCCTCATCCTCAATGAGATTGGCCTGCTACACAACCGACGCCTGGAGAATCTGATGCAGACGGTGGACGGCGGCGGCGCTGACGGCCTGCGCGCGCGCGCCGAGGCGCAGCGCCGGCCCATGGAGCGCGCCTACAAGAGCGCGGAGGCGGCCTTCAGCAAGGTGGGCGGCTGCCGGGTACCGGCAGGTAGTGTGGAGTGTGACATCATTTGGCATGATGTAGCACATAACAGGATGCGTTTATATATTCACCGAAAACTTTGCACTTAAAACCATCAGATCATGAAAAGTTGGCATGCTAAACATGCACAATTTGAGCCAGTCTTACGGAAACTTTGCTAAACAGCTAAAAAGAAAAAAGAAAAGGACCAGTACATTTTAAACGAACGGTATACGGCACAATCACTATCGGATTTCCTACAAATGCACTAGTTTGTCGGCAGGTCGTTTCCGCTGTACTTTATTTTACTTCATGAGAAGCTGTTGCGAAATTAGCATGAGTTCTCGCTAGTGTTTGTCACCAAATGGCGGGCTGGGCATATCCGCACGTGTGTCGCTGTTGGGCCGGTTACCTCCTCCGGTTGGCGCGCGTGTCTGGATGACACTCAACGGCCTGTCTGTCTCACCGTCCAGCCCGCCCCTCCACTGTCTACTGGGCCTCGCGCATGCACACCACGCCTCATGCCGCTCCATCGCCGCCGCCTGTCGCTCTCTGCCCACTGGACGGCGGCTGTCTACGACGGGCTCCACCGCACTGGCGGCTGACCCTGCCGGCAGCCGTGTGTCCGCTGCACACCCCAGGCCCTCCCCCTGACCGCTCTCCCGCTGGCCGCAGGCGGTCACTCTTCTGGACGGGACGCCGCAGCGCTGCGCCACGGAGATGAACCTGGGCCACCTGTACGACCGCTCGGCGGCGGCGCAGCACCGACTGCTGGGCGACGCCGCCGCCACGCTGGCCGACCTGGAGCGCACGGCCGCCTGCTACGGCCGCGCCGCCGCCGCCGCCGCCGCGCCCGGCCGGTCGGCCCGCTTCGCCGAGCAGACCGCCGCCGTCGTCGGCTGCGCCAACTTCGCCGCGCGCATGCGTCTCTTCCGCAGCGGCGTCGGTTACCGCATGGCGCTGCTGCACACGGGACTGCCGGCCGGGCGCGGGCCGCGCGCCGGGGTGGAGCTGTTCCGGCGCGCGCTGACCCTCTGTGACCCGACTCTGCTGGAGCCGGGCGACGAGCGACGCCAGGTGTGCTTCCACGCCGGCGAGGTGCTCGCCATGCAGGCCGACCACCAGCTGGAGCAGGCGCGGTGAGTGGGCGGCGGCGGCGGCGATGCTGTCGACGCGACGTCGCGTCTGCGTTGGAATCTGTCTATATTGCCATTATTGTCAGTGTACGTGACCGCTCTGAACCGTGATGCGAGCACTGTGTTCATCGCCGCTAAAAGAGCCGGTTCCGCTGCGCTTCCGAGCCGGTCGCTTGAAATGTGCATATTCTCGATTAATCACACCAAACCAGACGGGCCCAGTGGGAGGCTCCGGGCGGGGTCTGCGGGCGCGGCGGCCTCCCCGCGCACCGCTTCTGACTGCACGGTGTCCGCCGCAGACCACCCGCCTCCGAGAAGCGGCGCACGCAGCTGCTCGGCGAGGCGTTGGAGACGTACAGCCAGGCGGCCACCATGTACCAGGAGGCCGGCCGGCCGGACCGGCTGCTCGCCATGCTGCACGCTCAGGCCACCGTCAGGGAGGGGCAGGCCCTCTGTCAGTATACGCACGCACACACGCTCAGAGTGGTTTGTGCGCGTATGACGTACACACAGTATGGACGCTATATGTCCGTGCGGCGGAGACGCCTTAAAGCCCACTAGCTCACGGGCGGTGTGCGCAACGCTCACGAAAAGCACGCGGCACGATTAGCACGATAGCAGTGGCACGACATACAAAAGCACTGGAGACGTGAAAAAACATGTGTACCGATGTTATAGGATGATCACGCGCGTACTTCCCTTGTCAGGTCTGCCGTTTCGTTTTTTATTCTTTTTATGTTAATTATATTATTTTTATGTTAATTATATTACCGTCAGCGTCTTTCATTTTGCTTGGTAGTTACGACATAACGATGCACTACCGGCCGCTGCCGCTCTGCCTGTCCATCTGCGCGCGGCGGTGCCGCTCTGACTCGGCCTCCATCCGCTGGCCGGGTCTGTGACCGCTGCCTGCTGTCGCCCGCAGCGTGCAGCCACTGGTTCAGCCGCGTCAAGCTGGTGGAGGAGGCGCTGTCGTCGGCGGCGGCGGCCGGCTCGCCGCTGGCGCCGCTGCTGGCGCGCGTCGCCGCCGGCGCCGCCGTCTCGGCCGACGCCACCGTGGCTGAGCGGGCGCAGGACGCGGCCGGCCGTCTCTTCGCCAGCCTGCTGAACGCGCTTAAGACGGTCTGTCTTCTGCTCAGGAAGTACGGCGGCAACAAGAAGAGGTGAGTGGGGCCAGATTGCACGTTTGGTCGCGATAGTCTGTATTTAAAGTAACGCGGTTCGTGTTATGGCTCGTGTGATTTCACATTACACCGTGGTAAATTGGTGGGGTCAAGAATCTTGATGTTCTCAAATTCAGTAGTTTCATGCATGTATGTTTCACGATTTAGTCGCGGTTCCATCCAAGGCAGCTGGTCGATTGGATTGGATCGTTGTAAATGTCAGCGTCATCTTTGACAGTTGCAGGAATGCTATTTAATTCGCTCGCGTTTCATTACATCAAGCACTGAATGCGATGATACCAGCCGTAATTCCACTCGATCTCCTCTACGAAATCACGCACAGCATCCGTCAGCTGAACGTTTGGTTGGAATTGCACCGTTCTCGTCTGACGGACGCACTTGGTGGCTTTACACCGTCTCCAGCACGTCGTGTCGTGTGTTGATCACGGCGTCCCATCCAGACAGCAGCGGTCAGCCGTGCGCGGCCTGACCGGCGGGTGGTCTGGTGACGGCGCCGCGTCTCCGTGTCGACAGACAGGCGCCGGCCTACTTCGAGGACCTGTACCGCCAGAGTCTGGCCGTGTCGATGCGGCCCGGCTCCGAGCTGGAGAAACTGGCCGCCCTGGTGGAGCAGATTCGCCTGGCGCAGAAGCACTCCTGACCGTTCCGTCCGTGGCTCGAGGGTCTAGGTATGGCCCGCGTCCACCAGGTCCCTGGCCCGTCGGCTCTGGTTAGGGCAGGCTGGGTGCGGCCACCAAGCCCCGACTGTCGGGACCCTGGTCCGTGGGACTGTTACGACCTGCGCCCGTCACCAAGCCCCGACTGTCGGGACATGGATCGGGGGAGGAGAGGGGGGCTGGTGCGGTCTGCTCCCGTCACGGAATCCCGCTTGACCCGTCGGTAAGCTAGGCGTGGCCACAGAAGCGTGGGAATTCCCCGGACCGTTCAGGTCATGGCCGGATGACGTCCGCAAGCCTCTCCCAGGGATGTGTCTGTCGCCGCCACCCAGTCCGGTGGCAATATTCGCGCAGCTGGGATCGTATTTCTCCGTTGTTTGCCTCGATATGTTGACAAATCATGATCAAATGCTAGCTGTTCGTTCTCATGCGCGGGAAGAGTTATGGTGGGTGTTGAGGGAAGAGTTAGGAGTTATGGTGGTGGAGGTGGTGGAGTTAAGAGTTATGGAAGAGTTATGGTATTTTCGTGAGAGAAGCTCGCCACCCGGTCTGTCGAGTGTGGGCCGCAATAAGCCCAGCTGCCCAGCGTTCCCGGCTGGCGTAGCGTGCGGTGCCCCGTACCACGTCTCTGTGCGGGGTCTGTGGCTGTGCGGTGGCATTGGGCGGAGTAGCACTGTCGACGCCACCGACCTCGGCCCGCCTGGCGATTCGTCTCGTGCGTGTCTCGATGTTTGTAGGTTTACGCGAAACTGTTCGCTGTCGCACGATATGAACGAGTTAGGAATTTTTGAAGCAAGCGCAAAAGGTCCTGGGCTCTGAGGCCACCCGTGGTTATGGGACGAAATGACTGTCACAGTCTCTTACGTCAGTTCCTCTTCATTGTTGTGTCATTGTTCCGAAACTCCGTGTGTGATTTTCACTGCCGTTTCAGCCGCAGCCGAGTTGGGCCTTGTCTTACCTTCCACCTGGTGGCAGCTCTGCGAACTACTCGGCCCCGTCCGTCGGCACTCTGCGCGCATTTGTACATCAGCATGAACATGTGCTGACACCCATATGTAATCATGAACGCTCGTACTCACCGCGCTTATACTTGTGCTGTGCTGTATTTATCTGAACTGATGTATCGTTTGTATACCTCTTACCGAGCGCGGAGCACGGCTCATTCAGTGGTGAATGGCCTTTGTATTCCAATTAACTCTCGTATTTTATTTAGACCGTTGCGTTTCCCCCGTTGCATTCAGTGAATGGTTGGCCGAAATTGATCCATACCACGGTTATGATGTTTCGGCCAGCCATTCACCGAAACGCGACGTAAGGAACTAGTATACTGGGTGCGGTTCGGGCGCCTAAACCACTGAGTGAGCCGGGCCCGGACACCGACGTCCTCAGGATGCCGGCGTCCGCACGCGAGGCTGTGCCGCTGTGAACGGCGCGGGGTCCCGCGGGACGGGCCCGCTCAATGGCAGGACATTTGTACTACAGTTTCATGCTAGTGACGCTTACGCAAGGATCTCAGGTGTGCCGTGGCGTGTCAGAGTGGCGATTTAATGATGGCTTGTGAGCTTTACCACTGTAATAAAGATAACTGTCGGACGCCGGGTGCTGTTCTCTGCCCGGGTAACTGTAGCGGCGAGCGGAGCGGAGCGGAGCCGCTCGAGCGGAGCTGAACTGCCACTTGGACTGGAGCTACCGCACTACTTTCCGATGCACTACATCATCATGAGCACTAGGTGGACATGGTGGCCTTGCGACCTGTCCCAAGTATGACAATGCCTAGTTGAAGCCTACTGACATTTAGCTGTTTACTGTTGAAGCCTACTGTCATTGCCTAGTTGAAGCCTTCTGTCATTTAGCTGTTTACTGGTCTCTATGGGTACGGACACTCATTGTGTTGTTTTTTGCAGCCTAAGTTAGCGGCGTGATGGCGGGCTGAGCCACGTGTGTGGTCAATGTAGGTCCTCAAACAGACCTGCGTCAGACGGCCGAGAGCCGGTCAGAGTCCAACGAGTAGGTTAAGATTCTGGCTCGAAGCACGGTTGTGGGTCCGTCGAGCGCGGGTGTTCGCACAGGGCTTCGCGGCCCGACAGACTGGCCAGGCCGTCGCATGCAGTCGTGGTTGATGGCCACCCACGTGGATATGTGGCCGTGCAGGCGTCAGACATTAAGCTCCTACGTCTGAATGTAGGCTTAGGGTCATGTGGTCACGAAAAAGCACCCAGTAGCCATTGTGTCCTGCTAACCACGCACCAACGCATAAGTGCTTTGCGCGCGTTAGACAAAGCCCCACGACACGCCCCGTAATACTGAACGTGCCGCCGTGGACGCATGGGTCACTGGAGCTACAGCGTGTCGCACGTGGATGCTCCGCCGCCTTCGGTTCAGCCGTGCCGTCCCGTCATCTTCATTTAAAAGCCGGCTGCCGGCTGACGCCGCGTCGGAGATTCGGCTTCCGCGGACCGTCGACGCGAATGCGTAGCAGGTGACTCATTAAATATTCAGAGTTACCATCTGGGTGTGAGTGGGTGACCACCGTCGCCCCCGCCACCTCGCCCCTCGTCGCCCGCCCGAGTTGGCAAACCCGTCGAGTGCTCAGTAGCCGAGCGCAAATCTGCGACCCCCGCCCTCCATCCCAGCCTTCCGGCCGTGAGCGCGCGCCCGCCGGCCAGCGGCGCGACCGGCCACCGGCGACCATTGACACCCAGCTGTGACGGCTGTCGGCACGGGCGGCGCCGGCCTCCGCCCCCGAGCCGCGGCGTACATCGACCGTCCGGTTGCCCGGCGGCGGCGGTACACAGCCGGCGGCGGCCGCCGGCGCGCAGTCGGCACCATGTCGGGGGCGCGGCCGCGGCGGCCGAGCCTGACCTCGCGGCCCCGCTCCAGCGGCCTGACGCGCGTCATCAGCTCGCCGGCGGTGCGCGTCACCTCGCCGCCAGATGATCTGGCCCGGAATGAGATGGGCCAGACGTTCAAGAGGTGGGTGATCCCGGCGTGGGCGGCGGACGACGGTCGCGAGCGGTGCAGGCAGCCGGCATGCGGTCGTCATTGGGGGTCTTAAGGGTGCATGTCGGGCGCTGAGCTTTTCGTGTTGAACGTCGGTCGTGGGTAAATTATATTTGTCTTCTAATTTTGCGAGGGCAACAAAGTAGGCGCAAGCTACGTTTACTGTGATTAACCATAGTGTGGGTGCCGCTCATACGGTACAATGGAAGAAACAATATTTTTTAAAAAAGTTTTGAAACGAGATTGTCGTCTTGAACGAAGTGACTACATTGTAACCACACGCTGGGCAGAAATCTTTGAAAGTTAATTGACATGCATCTATTTCACTTTTTAGCCAAGCGCACCTCTGTCGGTCTCTCCGCGTGTCCACATTTCTTTAGCCAGGCGCGGTGCACAGATGGCTGCAAGGATTTCCCTTGATATATTTCACATGCGATGGGCTTGCTCCTTCCTAACGGTCCGCGACACGAATTCATGCCCGTCCGATGCCAGTGGCGGTCACAGCGCGAGAAGGGTCTGTTTTTGGCATTTAACAGGGAGGCATTCATCGCATTCGCAGGAGAAGCAAACCGCACTAAGGCCAAGCCGTAGAAAGCATGTAAAGCTCGAGCAGTGATGAATATAGCATCCTCGCGCGCAGGGGACTTTCGGTTAGCGCAGCCACTCACTGAAACCTTAAAATTAGTAAGCCAGGCTCTGCATTACTGGGATGTGAACCAATGTTATGTGGTTGGAGGTGGTGCTATACTGAAGCCAACAGCGCCGGTGTCGCAACATTAGTGCTGCGCTAAAGATCTTACAGACTGGAGTGAAGTGTCCTACGTGAAGTCATCAAAAGTCCAAGATCATAGTAACCAGTGTGCATATCATCCAAAGTCACGATATCCAACGTCCATAAAATTCAAAATGCCTCCAATGCCGCGCCCATCGGCGGAGTTCACAGCATGCAAGCTCGCAACGTCCAAAGTCATGGCATCCAAATGTTCATGACATCCAACGATCACGAATTCCAGTCGATAGGCTTAATTGCCACTGCTCTCCAGCCTTTGGACGTTATAAACGCTGCATGTTATGAGCTCAGGAACTCTGGATGGCTCGTTTTTGAGTGCTGCGGGCTTGAATGTTGTGATTCTCTCCTTTTCAGGGACGTTGAAAACGACTTTGGATGTTATGAACTCTGGACGTTGCGTTTTTAGACGCTTTGACTATTGGACGTTATGAACTCTGGATACTTTAGTACGCATCCAAGTATTATATATATATATACATATATATATATATATATATATATATATATGACATAACATTGGACATATAGCGTATATAGAATAATGTCGCGTACAACCAATGTGGTAGCAATGCATGAGTGATACAACATTGGCTATGCGCGACACAACTGTAGTGGTGCTTTTTTTATTATACTAGCTATACGCGACCTCTTCCTACGCAACTACAGCAAGGACTTAAACAGGCTTTTCTTGCGCACGACATTACTTTTACCGCAAAGACGCATGCGTGACTTGAGTGCTGGGTGTCGGGAACTATGTTGCAGAACCATACACGCGTAATTTCTTCTTTAGTGAATATTTATAGCGTATACCAATATGCGACAACACTCTTACTGCAAAACCGATACACGACATGAGTGCTACACAGCAAAATCTATACCGCAAAAACATGTACCAGTCATCAGTTCTGCCGCAAAGACTGCCGACATTGACATATACGCGACATTACTCCTGCTGCAGTGAATCATCTGCGACATATGTGCTACGAAATACAACTGGCAAATAATGAAAATTTTGTAAAAAAGACCTTATGTCCTTCCTTATGGCCTATTGCAATAGCCCGTACAGCCTCCGTATTAGCAATTTTATTTCTTCGGCTAATGTTCATGTGCGACATTTCTGCAATACAATGCAGAGCATGAACCATAAATCATAGCGGCCAGTAATCCAACTCATAGGCTGGGCCCAAACCAAAATAACCAAAATCCCGTGCAGGGAGCGGACGCATGGAAACACTAAGGGGGACAACATAATTTATTTTTGCATTTTGCACTATATGGCAGGCAGGTATTAGCAGTAGAAGAAATTTTGCACGTACATAAAACAGTATAAGTCTTAACGGTAAAAGTAAAGCGAGTTATGCACATGAAAATGTAAGTTTGTCATTGAGCACTTATACCGCATATAGGTCTTTGCAGGAATGTTTATGTCGTGCATCAGTAATGACCAAACAATTTTGCGGTAGAAATGTTGAAGAAGACAAGTTTTGGCAGCATGTGTTTTGTCGCGCACCACGACTGTCGTGTATTAGTATTGCGGGTGTAAGTATTGCCGTAGCCCTTCTGTCAGCTGGAGTTTTTGTTGTAGCTATTAAGTCGTGGAACCAACGACGGCAGCTCTTCGCGCAGCAAAGCGGTGTGAACCACAGCTAAATATAATCTATTCGGTGTCCTGAGCACGCGGAACAGCGCCGTAAGAACAATGTGCTCGAGCGATACCTGAGCGCTAAGCCGCGCACGAATGTTAACTTAGGGACGTGGTCAGGACAAGGGGCACAGGCTAGTGGCTCCTTTGAGCCAAATGACTTGTGCTGAATAGAAAATTCTCCTGGGGGAAATTCTTAGGAATCCGGTCTAGGTTCGCAGGAGATCGATCCCGTGGAAGATCCTGACTATATACTTTCTTTGAAGGGAATGTCCCGTATTCGAAGATATTGAGGCAAGCATCAGATAGGATGATATAAGCTCACTTACAACTATTGGTATACTCTTAAGTAGAAAAGGCTGCTCTAGACAATGCAATTTTTCCATCTAGTAAAAATGCTCTGCACTACGTCAACGTTTAATGAGCTCATCGTTCCTTGCACAACTCTGACTGAGAGCTAATGTATGGTCTTTATATCTGGTAATCGTGCTCACGAAAGCCAGATATGAACGACTCGACAGCAATATTTGTATTGGCCTTGATCACCACATGGCAGATGGAAGGCAGGATTTGAATGATATTATTGGGCCATGGGTGCCTGAGTGACCTTGAAGAAGTCTGCACGAAGTCTGCTCAACTTTGCGGGCGCGTGGTTCAGAAACTAGACTGGTTTAGGTCTTAGGAAGACTAGGGCTGTGGACTGCACTGAATGATCTTGAATATGCCTATTTAAGCTGAAAGCCCCACACAAATGTGAAAAATTCTCTTACACTGAGATCCACTTCATCCTGTTGAGACACGAGCTCGCGTCAGGCCGTTGTGGCGGGGCTTCCGACGCCATCGGTGTCGCCTCTCCGTGCAGCGACAAAAGCGGGAACCACGTGTTTTCACCATCGCCTTCGGTCTCGACTGAACTGAGCCGAACTGGCGTGCGTGAACTGGCAACACCTTCCCGTTGTGCCGCGCGGTTGCTTCATGCCTACTAACTGCAGCTTCGTCCTCTGTCGGTGCGCCCCGTCCGCCCGGCTCCATTGCACCGCTCAGTCGGCCATGTCAGAGCCGCCATCGGAGCTGTGTGCGGCGGAACAGTCTACCACGCAGGCGCCGCGCGCCGGCTCTCGGCCGCCCGGTCCGCGCAAACGGGATGAGGGTGGGG